ATAATGAATAAAATAATAAAAATTTAATCATCAAATCAAACTGTTAATGGCACTCCAATCAAGCATTAATTACTCTTACAAAGGTGACCAAAGGGTAATTTGGACCTTTTAATTCAAAAAAGTGACATTTTTGAACAAAGTTAGTGCACATCCAAAATTTTTGTGTATTTTCAAATTTAGTGACATTTGTGAAAATTTCCCCATATTATTATAAAAGAATAAAAAACAAAAACCAAAAACGATCAATACAAATACAAACTCTGCCTACAAAAAACAAAGGCAAAAAGTCCACCTTCTTCCCCAGTCACCCCCAGCTGCACTCCCATTCCCATGCCATAGTGTTATCGTTTGGATTTCATACTGTAAATTAATCCAATTATTAGATTTGGAAGTGTGAAATTATGAATAAGTTAATTGATTTTGGGAGAAAAGCCATGTTCTACGTTAGGGTTCTTTCGGGCTACGAAGAGCGCAGAATCCGATCTTATCGTTTACAGCTCCAACAACGCCTCCAACAGGTTTGTTTGTTCTTACTCTTTTATCCACTCCGTAATTTTACTTTTTAATCTTTATTTATAAACATGAATGAAATTATTTAATTCGAGAATTGAATAATTAGTGTAATACAGAAGATGATGTGCTTCACGTGATTTTTCTTTTTTGGGGTTTTGGGCAAATGATGAGTATTTGATGGATAAGGATTTTACATAATGGAATTTTGCTTCTGTAATTTGAAGTGAATTTAATTTATTGTGCGTCATCGGGCAAATGTTAAAAGTGAAACCCCGTTGAGTAACGTTTGTCAGGCTTCAATTAGAGTTCTCATAATTTTGAATCTTTTGCTGTGCGAACTTGTCTGTGAAAGTCCGTGCTAATTTTTATTTTATTATGGTTCAAACAAATATAATTCCCTGTCTTGTTTATCGAAATAGTATATGATTACTATTGATGGAAAGTACTGTTGGTGGTTTCTTGTTCTTGAAGATGTAAAGGTCTTTGAAACTATGAATCTTTCATCTCTTCCCCTCCCTCGATAAGGGCGTGTCTAAGGATGCTACTTCGGACATTTCCCGTTCAATATTCCCTTTCCTGCAAACAAAAGGTCTTTCTTTTTGAGGGGTGGGGGACTCTTTGTAATTGAATTTTTCGGGTTCGGCTGTAAATATTTAAGCTCCAAACTGACTCCTGCTACATTGCTTGTTCCTCATGCACAGATTGATACATAATTTTCACCTTCAAGAATCTGTCCACAAAATGCATTGGCAAACTATCAAACTTCATCGAAATAGTTCTATTTAGCTGTAAACAAGTCAATTTAAAATATCATATTGGGCCAAAATGGTTCTATTAGCTCTGCGAACATGTCACACTCTAAAATGTAGATATAGTTATATTAGATGCTCTGATGCTTGACATTTTGCTTACAGTAAATTCATATGTTATCTGTATTCTTAAATTTGTTTTCCAATGTGCTTATCTTTTCATTCTTATATATGACTAGGCACAAGAGAGGAAAACAGAAATCAGAAAGGTCCCTGAACAAATAATTTTGTCGGAGGTGCGGCGTATGGTCGAGGAAATGAAAGCTTTGAATAAGAAGTTAGACGAAACCGTGCGTTTACTTTTCTTGTTAATCTGGCTACATTTCCCCTTACTGTATGATAAACCAATTTCGGAACTTGTGATTTGTAGTTTTTTGGTTATGCCACATGGTTTTCGCATATTAGGGAGGATGTCTGTGAAATGTGAATAGGGTGCTTTGGCGTTTAATATGAAGCTTGTGCACACATTGGCTACACCAAGGAGAAATGTGATTTTGGTTGTCCTATGACTTATGATTGTCCCATAATATGGTTGAATTGTCAGAATCATATAAGGAAACATGAGTTGGATAGTCAAGATAAACTGATCTGTGATTATAGCTCTACGGGGGTCGTGCGATTGTATGATGGCAACATGTGGAATTAATTGATTAATTTTCTTGACACAGTCTAAAGGTCAAGCTGCTTTGCATATTCTGTGTGGTTGTAATGCATTTTTATTTGAAGAATAATTTTGCGTCTTCCTGTTGACGTGCTGTAGTAATCATGAATTTGGTTATTAGAATAAGAAAGAAACTAAAATTTGTCTATGTTACAGTATATACCTATCCTTGTCTCTATTCAGAATATTCTTATGCTTTGAAGAGTTGCACTGCCAACAAAGACCTTTGTCGTAGGGCTTGAAAGATTCTGTTACTGAATGAAATTGGCTCTCCTGTGTTTGCAAAGCATTAAATCAGGCACATACATTTTCACATGCAGACTCACATACTTATAACATGTGCGTGTAAAAGGTGTTTTCTTGAACAAGTCTATAGATATATAAGAATAGAGTGCTCAATTTTTTGCTGTCTACGGGTTGCCTTTTGCATGGCTTTAGTCAGTGGTTGCCCAAATGGTATCACCTTGTCATTATATCTGCACTGGTTGATATTTATGAATTCTTGTTTCGCATACAATTAGAATATTTGTCAGGATCTGATCTCGTCTGTGGAATTTAGCTGCTATGAGTTCAAATCTTCTTTTAAGGAACTCAATTCTCTATTTATCAGCATCTGTGGGACTGGGGCCAGAAAATGGAACTTCTTATGGTGCTGTACTTTTAATTACTTGCCAATGAAAATACTTTACTGTACAGACTCTCCTTTTAGTACACCATATTACTGCTTGCCAATGAAGAGACTTCATCGTTCAGGTTCTCCTTTAGCACATCATAAAAACATTTAAGCGAGTGGAGACATGAGTTTCATTAGCTGTGACTGTTTATTCGTCTGCACCAAATTCTCACCTAGTTACCTTGGAATTTTAGATTAATTTCCTTCCGTTTTCGATTTAATGAGTCCTCGTCAAACTGAGTCTTCTACCTACTACCATCCTTGTGTTTCTAGTGCTAGGCTCGTTGTAACCCCCTATCTTATACAACCAATTGTTAATAACTCACCAAAATTAGCTGGACCAGGAATTTAGTGCTTGTCTGCTAGACTAGAATATTGCTGTTGTGTTCACATATTTGGCTTAAGCAATAACGTTATTGCTTTCATTCAATTATTGACAGAACGAAAAATATCCATGGCATGGCTCATTTGCCAAAATGAGCAGGATCTTTGTTGGGTTGTTCGTCTTTGTGAACACAAGTGAACAACCAATTAAATTGGATTTTTTAATGACTTTTAAGATTTGACATTTCTAACATTTACAAAGATTGCAATCGTAACTTTATCTCATTATTGTTTCTAACCGTTGTTTAGTTCTGCATTAAGCCCCTGTTTGAGCCACATTAAAATTTTAATTATCATTCTTCTACTCATTTTCAACCACATATTCTTTAATAAAATAATATTTTCCATCACATCAATAACTTTTCCATCTTTTTTAACCACACGTTCTCTATCAATCTACTATTCCAAAATACATTCTTCCAAAATAATGTGGCTCAAACACACCCTAAACTAGTTTTCCCAACTTATCATAAACTCCTAGCCGTGTTTAATTTGATTACCACTGTAGCAGGAGACTCCTCTAGACTGGCTTAGGTTTTCTCACAAGGTCAGTTTGATTGTCCTGAAAAATGGGTAACGAATCTTCATTAAGATGAATTTTGATGTATTACCAAGTGTACATGTACTGGGGCAAAATCCTTACTGGCTCTATTAGTTCCTTTCTTCCATTCTCTCTTGTTATTGGCTATCTTGTGAGGTTATTGAAAATATGGTTGATCATATGTAGGAGGCTGCCATTGAAGAGTACTTTAAGCCGATTGACAAGGAAGCAGAGATGATAATGAAAGTGCAGCTCGAAGGAGAGGAGAAATCAATGAAGGAGATGATGAAGGCCATGCAAAAACAGGCTTCTTTCGAGGCAGCTGAAGCAGAAAAAACTGGTCGTCTGCAAAATGCTGATACCGACCAACATAATAAGGAGAAAATGTCTACAAGCAAGCATACCGAAGTAAGATAATTTTACACAAGCTTTTAATGCTTTTTCTTCCCCATAAAATTACATGTGGCATGGCTATGTTGAGAACCAATGCTAGAATAACCAGATTTTGTTAACTCCTTTATTTTTTGTCGATGAGTCAATGAAATCTTGATTGGCTTCTGTATTACTCTGTATTTTGTTAGCAGCTTTTGTATTGATCTTCATTTTAGCATTTATACAACAACACAATTACCTTTCTTGGTGATAAAATCTGTTTTAGTTGACTTAGTTTTTTTATCCCAACTTTCTCGAAAATCATTTTATATAGTCGACTTGACTCTAAACCTAATTAATGAACATTGAATGGCATTGTCAAAAGTTGTTCAAAGGTGAATGTCTTGCATCAAATAAAGAGAAAATATTATTGGATAACCCCTTTTAGATTTGAATTTTGACTTAAATCTCAAGTTCTTTATGAATTTGGTAAGCTAGTGAAAATAATCAAATACCTATGAATAAGTTTGCTTAATAGTTAAGATTGAGAATATTAATTTAAATTTGAAATGAGTAAATTGCTTAATTTATAATTTATCATCAAATAAATAAAGAAAATAAATATATTTAGAAAGATATTACCTAACGTATTTGAAATCAAATCGAACATATATTTGTTCAAAATAAAGACCGTATTATTTGCAAGGCTACTTGAGCCCCGACTATTGAAGTTGAACTTTTTTAACTTTACGCGTGCCACTGCAATCAAAGACAATCTAGTCAAAATTGATCGAGGATCATCCTCCAACTATCAAATTATTTTAAAAGAAAATGCAAAACTCGGATTCCTCTTTAGGATTATTAAGTATCGAATAATTTTAATTTTTCATTTTCATTTTTGTTCTTGTTCTTGTTCTTGTTCTATTCTTTTCGTTTATCTTTTGATTTGATCGGACAAATTAAAGATAAATCATCGAATAAAATAAGGTAGTGGACCAATAAACATATTCTTGATGAATGGAGGGTTCGGATGTAATAGAAAAGGTTCTCAAGAGATCATTCGAAGTTGGTCGGCATGACTTTCGTGGTGTTGACTTGCTAAATTCAACCCTTCTTCCACACATCGTTTTATTCATTTTTCTTTCCGAATTTACATTTTAAAAGTATTTTCTCGCAAATAAAATTGCTAAATATTTTGGAATTTAATTTGTGTTTTTACGTCAGAAAATTGGATCCCTCTTTTTTAAATTTAATATTAATTCAATATCCAGTGACTCGATGGTGACGGATTAAACATAAATATGACCTAATTTCACAAAAGTTCAGTAATCAAAATTGAAATTAACGTTCTACATAAGGTCTAAGGTCAGCGCAAGACACGTCAGATTGGACCCAACAATGGCTAAAAATGTGACTGCATTAACCATTAGGTGCACCACGTGTCATTCTAATTTAAA